CGACTTTTTTTCACTTTGATGTTCCTTCCCCTCTGTGGAGCCTAAAGTCAAAACACATGACATTTGAAATAAACAGATTATTGGGTAAGTCTGAGCAAGCCAATCTCACCCTCTCAATTGTTGATCTCTTCTTGTCTTTAAATGGTGTTCCCCCCAAGAAGTCTCATGTTAACTGAACCGCTGGCATCGCGGAGAGAGAGAGAGATCGACAACCAAGGAGTTGTTGAAAATATAAGTTGAGTTTGTACTATTTTTTGTCAAAACAGTTACTAATGTTATGATTTTGAAACTGAACTGTTGAAATTGAGGAAAATAATAAATTTTTTGTCTTCGCTTGACGGAGAATCAAATATTGATCATTTATTTTCCAGAGTGAAGTAATCAACTAATCGACACCAACGGGAGAAAATGTGAAACAATAAAATATTTCGCCTAGTTTTTAATTAAAAAACGGCCTTCATTTAGAAGTCGATAAACAAACCAGCACTTTCAAAATTGAATAAAGGAATCATTAAGTGTTTATATCAATAAAAGCGTTAGCTCCATTTAGCATAAAAGAATTCACTCTACCAAGCTTTACCGTACGTATAAATTCAAAAATATTGATTGAGGAGAACATGTTCTGAAATTCACTACAACACAAATAGCCACCTATTGACTGTTTAACTACCGTATTTCCCTCCATAATCACTTTTTACGCAACGAATAATACCTGAAATGAATCTATTTTTATGTTATAACCCACGATAGGCTATGAATACCATGACTGATTTATAAAAAACAATTTGATAGATAAAAATAAACAAATACATCTTTAACCTAAAGCGTATTTCAACATCCATCTTGGATAGAGAATGACACTATAGAGCCTTCATAGCAGGAGATCTAATTCATCCACTTTCTATGCTCACCAGTTCTTGAATGCCGAAATTGGTAGCTCAGCTCATTGGGTGTGTGTACGTGAGTTGGTTCTTGCTTATTTTCGAAATCAGACGTTTTAAACACATAAGTCCTATGTTATTAGGTTATTCTTATATACTTCAGTACCGACCATCAAAGTTACTCTGAAATCAGCCCAAAACTAACCTTCAGCTATGGGAATGATTTCGAGGTCAGCATTAAGGGAGATTAAGAGACAAGTTGAGATTTTGGCAGTCTGTAGTGCAGCGCGGAAGGCGGATATTGTGGCAACAGATTTGAAGCAGTCCAAACCCTGCTGATCGGTCTTTGAGGATGGTCCAATAAAGTAATCGAGGAAATATGGGCGTAGTGCGGATGCTCGTGTTGGAAGACAGAGCAGTAACTATAGTTAAAATTAAAAAAGAAGACAGTCAATCTATAAATGATCTTTGATTGCAATAAACTAAATATGCCTTCAATGATATGCATTCCATGTATCTTGTTGAGAGGTATTAACAATAACTGACCTGAATGGAAGAAAATTATCTTAGAGGCATTCTAATAGGAAATTCGTGTTCCCCAAAACTTTTCTACTGGTCAGAGCTATACGCTGCGATTAGCTATTCTATCTATGCGTCACTAATTTATTTATTTATTTCAAATGGAAGGCGTTTTGATAGCTATCATTAGCCATTTAGCTGAATTCGGGCTTCACAGAGGGAAGGTTCATCAAAGTAGCAGAAAGTCGAGGGGTGGAGAACAGAAGAGCGATTCACAGATGTAAAAGAGGCAGACCGACACAAAGATAGAGAAAAAGGTAAGGTGAGTACTGTGAAAGGGATCTAATATGACAACCAGGGGGGAGGGTCGTGGTAGTTTGAAGTCAGAAGTCAACTGCCGGTTAACCCTTTTGCCATATGTGGATACGTTGCCCAGGGTGCACCACGTGTATACGTTGCCCAGGGTGCACCAGTTTTTGCCGTATGAATATACGTTGCCCAGGGTGCACCACGTGGGCAGTTTGAAGTTGGGTGATGGCAGTTTGAAGTGAGAAGTCAACTGCCAGTTAATAGACTTTTGGTAGTTTGAAGTCAGAAGTCAACTGCCGAATAATAAAGTGGCAGTTTGAAGTCAGAAGTCAACTGTCGGTAAATGTAATTTTGCATAGTTTGAAGTCAGAAGTCAACTGCCAGTTAATAGATTTAGTAGTTTGAAGTGAGCATACGTTGCCCAGGGTGCACCACGTGGAGGTGCCGTTTGAGTATACGTTGTCCAGGGTGCACCACCTGGAGGTAAGTCTATCGTGAGTATACGTTGCCCAGGGTGCACCACGTGGAGGTGTATGAGTATACATTGCCCAGGGTGCACCACGTGGAGGTAGCCGAATGAGAATACGTTGCCCAGGGTGCACCACGTGGAGGTAAGGTGTAGTATACATTGCCCAGGGTGCGCCACGTGGAGGTAAGACCGTATGATTATACGTTGGCCAGGGTGCACCACGTGGAGGTACCTTTTGCGGTATGAGTATACATTGCCCAGGGTGCACCACGTGGAGGTAGCCGAATGAGAATACGTTGCCCAGGGTGCACCACGTGGAGGTAAGGTGTGAGTGTACGTTGCCCAGGGTGCACCACGGACTCTTTTGCCGTGTATACGTTGCCCAGGGTGCACCAGTTTGTTTGCCGTATGAGTATACGTTGCCCAGGGTGCACCACGTGATAGACTTACTTGCCGTATGAGTACACGTTGCCCAGGGTGCACCACGTGGTGCCTTATGAGTATACGTTGCCCAGGGTGCACCACGTGGAGCCGTATGAGTAAACGTTGCCCAGGGTGCACCACGTGGAGCCGTATGAGTATACGTTGCCCAGGGTGCACCACGTGCCGTTTGAGTATACGTTGTCCAGGGTGCACCACCTGGAGGTAAGTCTATCGTGAGTATACGTTGCCCAGGGTGCACCACGTGGAGGTGTATGAGTATACATTGCCCAGGGTGCACCACGTGGAGGTAGCCGAATGAGAATACGTTGCCCAGGGTGCACCACGTGGAGGTAAGGTGTAGTATACATTGCCCAGGGTGCGCCACGTGGAGGTAAGACCGTATGATTATACGTTGGCCAGGGTGCACCACGTGGAGGCCGTATGATTTTTGCTGTATGAGTATACGTTGCCCAGGGTGCACCCGGACTCTTTTGCCGTGTATACGTTGCCCAGGGTGCACCAGTTTAGACTTTTTTGTCGCATGAGTATACGTTGCCCAGGGTGTACTCATGGTAGTTTGAAGTCAGAAGTCAACTGCCGGTTAATAGATGGTAGTTTGAAGTGAGAAGTCAACTGCCAGTTAATAGTATGGTAGTTTGAAGTCAGAAGTCAACTGCCGGTTAATAGGGATCTTTTTGCCTTATGAGTATACGTTGCCCAGGGTGCACCACATTTTGCCGTATGAGTATGCGTTGCCCAGGGTGCACCACGTTTGTTTGCCGTATGAGTATACGTTGCCCAGGGTGCACCACGTGTGCCGTATGAGTATACGTTGCCCAGGGTGCACCACGTGGAGATAAGTCTATCGCGTCACTAAAAATGTCAGCATTCCGTAAGAATTATTAAAACATTTGGCATATAATTGTCTATAAAGCTGGAATATCGAACATTTGACTTTAATTTATCAATTAAATGCATAACAATGGTTCAGTATTAAGTAGTATAAACTATATATTCGGGATCATAATCATATTTCAGCTACCATTGTTTCTACATCTACCTCAAGTTTCAGTGATATCGTATTGAAACAGGGAAAAAATAAAAAATTCATATTATTGTACGGGGTAAATAAAATAAGGTCAACACGAAAAAACTCTTTTCCCTTGGAATTAAAATTCGTAAAAAATATTTAATATTGAAATCAATTTTTTGCCATTTTCTACTAATAAACTGTGAGGAGATTTTTTAACTGAAATAAAATAGCGGTTTTCAGGGAGAAATTTGCCAATAATAAAGGCATATTTTGAATTTGATAATAATCATAAATTTATAAACATGAGTAATATTTAACTAGGTGGAGAATGGTGAGTTTGATTACTTAAATCTCAATTTAGTCTTTGATTATTCCCCCTGTTGAATAAATGATTTCTTGCCTTGCAGGAATGAGAATAGGCTCCCTAACCAAAAGTAATTAATCTAATTTGTGCTTAAGAAACATGAATTCCCAGAATCAGAAACCCACTTTGTAATCCTTGTCAGTCAGATCCAGTCGCTTGATTACATTTTGAAAGAGGATCTTCTGAATGGGGATTCCATTGACTAATATCGGTTTCTGGAAGTGAACAAAAAAATTATAAAGCGGTAAACTGGGATAAACCCTAAACGTAAATTTAATTTTTAAATAAATTTGGCGGTAAATAAGCTGATTTAAAGAATAGGTGTTTGAAATGATTCTCTTATGGTTTTTTTCGTAATAATTTTAAACATTTTCCTTATAACATCTGTGGGACACGTCATCGTATGCGTGTACACATAGGCTTGAGGTGCGGCCGTACAACTTCGCGTACGGACTGAGGACAAGAGCACGCAGCCAATAGCAGCTCAAGGGCCCCTTTTTTGTTTTACCGAAAGCCGCCATGTTGTATGACTGAGTTTCCTTCCTGTACACTTATTGCGTGGTTTATCTACTAAATAAACGTGCTCCGTGCTAAACGTCTGTTTCCTTCATAGCTGGGCTATAGCTTAGCTGGTTCTGGGAGTCTAGCTAGATGTTGGAGAATTTGCCATAGAGATTTCTGAGTCAGTCAGGCTTTACTAAGGTAGCAATCCGCTACACATCTGTAAGGATTTAAGACATCTAATTTGCATAGGGTTAACTGATATAGCTACCATTTTACATAACAACTAGCCCATTGCCCATTTTAAATAACTTTCTTAAGTAGGCAATTAGGTCCGTGTATTTATCTTACCTGCACAAGCCAATTTATTGAATGTTTTTCGTACCTAAATCAGCTGCAGCCAAATCTGATAAACCCAACATGAGAAACCTTAATCACATTTATCTAAATCAACTTCACACTGCTACAATTGGAAGTTGGAAGTGTCAACTCACAATAATCTGACTTTGTCGAAGGGGTGAAATGACGGAGGTAGTTCCGAGCTCTTGGCTTTCCGCAGGATCTGCAATTCGAGGTACAGCATCACCAAACAACAAACCTTTGGATGTCAAGGCAATTGAGTTGGGTATGCAGTAATCCGGCTCTGTGGCTAGATGAGACAGATATTCTTATAATTGATATACATATATATATACATAATAGTGTCAAATAAATGGATGTCAAATGTGCCGACTCTAAATAAATTTACGTTGATCTCGAAGGATTCCAACTCGTATGTAGTAGTGGCCCATGTCCATCACTACGATTTTCTAGAAAAAAAGGTAAAAAAGGCCCAAATGAATGTCAGATGGATGATGCTTGACGCGGCACTAAGAGGTCGATGTTGGCAGACTTGATAGAGCTTTCTCACAATACCAGTCTACCACTCTAAGTAGTTAATGCAGGATAAATCTACTTATGAAAGTTGAATCGAAGGAAACCTGACGAATTCTGCTAAGTTAGAGGCGTTAAAAACGAAGGCAGGGCATACTCATAAGTTAGTTTCGAACATCCAGACAGCTAATGAACTGCTCTTTATTAACTGCTTTATATGTAGCCCCCACCCATGGGGAAAGCTGAAGTCAACTAAGGAGCTATTGATAAATATCATAAAGCCTACCATTTGAAAAAAACGCTCGAACATCCAAAACGCGGACTATTACTTGAGAAATCAGAAATCGAATTCTAAATCAAAATAACTTGCATCGATCAGGAAGCTAACCTGAACCAAGTAGCAAGTCTGAGGGACACTGGCAAAGCAAGACTGATTCCAATGCTTTAATTAACAGTTTCATCCCTTATTGATGCAGCTTTTATGTTTCAAGGACTGAAAATGATTTCTGTTCAGAATATGCTAAAAATAAGCTTTAAATTTAATGTTAACTCATAATGAGCCGAAGAGTAATAGGCTGAAACCTTTATGCTCACGACGTAGTGGTCAACTTGCATGTTCCAAACTTAAAAACCTCGATGAAATTTCAATTAAAGCATTAAATATATTTTTAAGTTAGATTACCAATTTTTTAAGTTAATTAAGAAGAGCTATTTAGAGAAAATACACTGAATTAACTTGCTGATAAAATGATTACGAAGAATTACGCTCTATTTCAAGGGCTCAATAAAAAATCGTTTTAAAATTCCCGTTTTATTGCAAATACTTCATTAAATAATCAAATATCATTGTGATAATTAATTTTAATTCTTAATTGAAAAAAAATTTTCTGTTTATTTTAACTAAGATAAGAGAAATTGGGGAGCAAGATCAATTTGAATTATATATGATTCTCATAAAATATGAATGCTGTCTTTAAGTCAACTCTCATAATATATGAACAAGTTGGCATATAAACGATTCCTTCTAATTTACTTTACTATCAAATCTGCTTGGAGTTGCAATTATTGCTAAAAGCTCATTAATAATTCCATTTAAAACGGTGGTAGCCCTTTCTTTTAGGTTATGGAATTTTTGATAGAAAAGTATCCTACACTACTTATTATAGTGTCCTCAGTAGGTCTATTCGTCTACTGAAGGCTATAAAATCGGGTAAAAGGAATACGCGTTTTAACGAAAGGTTCGATTAAATCAGCCGTTCAAAAGATTTTTAATAATGTGGATAGGAATCCAACCAGAGAAGTAAGCTGCGAAAATACATTGATGTTACCGAGTATATCGCAATCTTTGTGAGAAAATAAATATGGTTGGAACAAGGCTCTTGAAATTGCGGGAAATATTTTTACCTCGAATCTAATTCATTCAATTATCAGTACTTTATTAATCTTTATTTTCTTGGTGCAATGTGGGGAAATGTAAAAAGAGTTATTTCATGTCAATAATGGTCCCATTTGTCAATGTACCAACTTTCATCAAATAGGATTTTTCCTTAAAATTAGAATTTTTTTATTTTATTACAATCTTTATTGGGGAAGGGGGAGGGGAGCTATGCGGAGATGTATATTCAATTCTAAAGAAGGCATATCATGGCAAAAAGAAACACAAAACTGAAAATGGAATTAAATCTAAGTTGGGAAATTAAATAAACTCAAGGTAGAACCTATCCACCTCTGAGTCTCATCAAACTTTGAACTTAAAAAAGACGACTGTTCATTGATGTGTCTATCAAATATAAATAAATTTTTTGAAGTGAACAATGTAAGTATATTAACTATGCCTCAGAGACCTACTTGTCTGTCTTTAATTATTATTAATAAAATCGTAAATATTAGCATGTTCATTGTTTATTTTTTTCCACAAATTTACTACACACGAAAGTAATTTAACCGAATGGTGCATTTCCAGTTGTCAAAGTGGATCATGCAAAATCATAAATTTGGATGTAATTTCAATTTTAATTGGTTTCTTTAATTCAAAATATATTTAATTCAAAATTTGTTAAATATCTCCAAAAATTAAAGAAGATAACACACCTGAAGAAATCTTGGTGCGGGTTGAGGTCTTGGTGAGGCTACTTGAGGTGAGGCGTCACGATGGGTCGAGCTTGAATTCGACTGGTAATACCCACTCTGCAATTCTTGCAACTTAAAAAAATTTGAGTCTAGTTTTATTGCTGGTATAGATTTTAATCATTAATTAAATGCTAATTGGAAATTATCCGAAACAATTTTAGAGGAAATTTTCCCCGATTAGTTATTTAAATTAACTATTTGATTTAATTAAAAGGACTTCCCACCACTGTAATTAAAAGCTAATAGTTCACCTTATTTTCCCATAATATTGTCAAAAATGCTTATTACTTGAAAAATTAAAGCATTATGAGAAACAATTAACAACTTAAATGAGTTATAACCAAGGTACCAGGCCTTTTCATTAACAATAAAATAATTTTAAATCGATAATGTTAACTTTAATTTTGTTTGTTAGTGTCATGTTAATACAGTAATAACATACTCCCAATTTAACAATTGGACTGGCAATTGAGTTTCGATGAACTGGGCTAAGTTGCTTTCCTGCCTACATGAAAGGAAAAGAAAAATTTTTTGCGTTTTAAATTTGATCTGACTCCTACTTTCATACCCTATATTTCGATGATAATTGTCTGCATCATATCATTCCACAATCACATTTGCCAAAATTATGCTCTCTTTAATATATTGGCTCCTTATATCTAGCTCTTCAATAGGTTTGTGTCTGCGTATATTTATTTATTTATTTCAAATGGCAGGCGTTTTGATAGTTATCATTAGACCTGGAGCTGACTTCGGGCTTCACAGAGTACATTCACAAGTGTCAAACAACTAATCATTTGATTAATTAAATCAATGTTTGTCTGAAAAGTGAAGCTCAACATCTGCAGGAAAGGAGGTTGTTTAAGCATGCATTAATTAGTCTAATTTGAGAGATGGTATCAATTGAAGCACTGTGATTTTGAAGATAGAATAGTTAAAACAGAGATATTTGTAAGTGAACTTATGATGCCACGGGTG